CTACCTGTGTGTATCACACCTGGCTTCCTGTGCAGTATGGCTACCTGTGTGTATTACACCTGGCTTCCTGTGCGCTATGGCTACCTGTGTGTATTACACCTGGCTTCCTCTGCGCTATGGCTACCTGTGTGTATTACACCTGGCTTCCTGTGCGCTATGGCTACCTGTGCGTATTACACCTGGCTTCCTGTGCGCTATGGCTACCTGTGTGTATTACACCTGGCTTCCTGTGTGCTATGGCTACCTGTGTGTATTACACCTGGCTTCCTGTGCAGTATGGCTACCTGTGTGTATTACACCTGGCTTCCTGTGTGCTATGGCTACCTGTGTGTATTACACCTGGCTTCCTGTGTGCTATGGCTACCTGTGTGTATTACACCTGGCTTCCTGTGTGCTATGGCTACCTGTGTGTATTACACCTGGCTTCCTGTGCGCTCTGGCTTCCTGTGTATTTTACACCTGGCTTCCTGTGTATATTACACCTGGCTTCCTCTGCGCTATGGCTACCTCTGTGTATTACACCTGGCTTCCTCTGCGCTATGGCTACCTGTGTGTATTTACACCTGGCTTCCTCTGCGCTATGGCTACCTCTGTGTATTACACCCGGCTTCCTCTGCGCTATGGCTACCTCTGTGTATTACACCCGGCTTCCTCTGCGCTATGGCTACCTGTGTGTATTACACCTGGCTTCCTGTGCGCTATGGCTACCTGTGTGTATCACACCTGGCTTCCTGTGCGCTATGGCTACCTGTGTGTGTATCACACCTGGCTTCCTGTGCGCTATGGCTACCTGTGTGTGTATCACACCTGGCTTCCTGTGCGCTCTGGCTACCTGTGTGTATCACACCTGGCTTCCTGTGTGCTATGGCTACCTGTGTGTATTACACCTGGCTTCCTGTGCGCTATGGCTACCTGTGTGTGTATCACACCTGGCTTCCTGTGCGCTATGGCTACCTGTGTGTATTACACATGGCTACCTGTGCGCTACGGCTACCTGTGTGTATCACACCTGGCTTCCTGTGCGCTATGGCTACCTGTGTGTATTACACCTGGCTTCCTGTGTGCTATGGCTACCTGTGTGTATTACACCTGGCTTCCTGTGTGCTATGGCTACCTGTGTGTATTACACCTGGCTTCCTGTGTGCTATGGCTACCTGTGTGTATTACACCTGGCTTCCTGTGCGCTCTGGCTTCCTGTGTATTTTACACCTGGCTTCCTGTGTATATTACACCTGGCTTCCTCTGCGCTATGGCTACCTCTGTGTATTACACCTGGCTTCCTCTGCGCTATGGCTACCTGTGTGTATTACACCTGGCTTCCTGTGCGCTATGGCTACCTGTGTGTATTACACCTGGCTTCCTGTGCGCTATGGCTACCTGTGTGTATCACACCTGGCTTCCTGTGCGCTATGGCTACCTGTGTGTATTACACCTGGCTTCCTCTGCGCTATGGCTACCTCTGTGTATTACACCTGGCTTCCTCTGCGCTATGGCTACCTGTGTGTATTACACCTGGCTTCCTGTGTATATTACACCTGGCTTCCTGTGCGCTATGGCTACCTGTGTGTATTACACCTGGCTTCCTGTGCGCTATGGCTACCTGTGTGTATTACACCTGGCTTCCTGTGTGCTATGGCTACCTGTGTGTATTACACCTGGCTTCCTGTGCGCTATGGCTACCTGTGTGTATTACACCTGGCTTCCTGTGCGCTATGGCTACCTGTGTGTATTACACCTGGCTTCCTGTGTGCTATGGCTACCTGTGTGTATTACACCTGGCTTCCTGTGCGCTATGGCTACCTGTGTGTATCACACCTGGCTTCCTCTGCGCTATGGCTACCTGTGTGTATTACACCTGGCTTCCTGTGCGCTATGGCTACCTGTGTGTATCACACCTGGCTTCCTGTGTGCTATGGCTACCTGTGTGTGTATCACACCTGGCTTCCTGTGCGCTATGGCTACCTGTGTGTGTATCACACCTGGCTTCCTGTGCGCTCTGGCTACCCGTGTGTATTACACCTGGCTTCCTGTGTGCTATGGCTACCTGTGTGTGTATCACACCTGGCTTCCTGTGCGCTATGGCTACCTGTGTGTGTATTACACCTGGCTTCCTGTGCGCTATGGCTACCTGTGTGTGTATTACACCTGGCTTCCTGTGTGCTATGGCTACCTGTGTGTGTATTACACCTGGCTTCCTCTGCGCTATGGCTACCTGTGTGTATCACACCTGGCTTCCTTGCCCAGTGTATGCACTGTATAAAATCACAAAAAGCTAGATAAAATAAGTTGTATGTTTGTTTAGAAATGTGTGTGTGTGTGTGACATGTTCCTCTTTTTGTAGGTATTTAAGAACAAGGCCGTGTTATTGGCAGAGAAATTACTTCCAGCATTTAACACTCCCACTGGAATTCCCTGGGCCATGGTCAACCTTAAGAGGTAAGAGAGAGGGTGTGTAATTCTGTCCGAAACCATTTCACAGGCGTCTCATAGCATCTGTGAGCAGCCAGAAACAGACCGGTTTTACTGTTCTCTCCAGTCACTCGATGCTGTGTCCAACTTAACCCTGCGATGGGACTAAGTGGACCCCATGATTGCTGCACTTTCTTCTCAATCCATGCACCGTGGTTTTATTGTGCCGGGCAGATCACATTCAGCCACGGTTAGACACGTTAAATTCTTTTTTTTTTTTTTTTAATTCTTTATTTTTCATAGAAAAAAGAAGTGCATATTTGTGACAATGTATATGCTTACGCAGAAGCCGCGAAAGAAGTGCATACTTATGACAGTGCATAGGCTTACGCAGAAGCCGCAGTGCGTTTTCAGATGGTTCAGTTATACAGCAGGCAGGAGAGATACCTTAAGACAAGATATATGCTTACTAGCGCTGCTAGTCTCGTCAGCGGTTAATTTGTCTTCTTGTGTTTTGCTAAGACAACTCTACGTGTTTTGTCAGTGAGGTCTAGCTTAGAACACATACCACTTCGATTAGCATGGTTTTATACAGTTGTTAACTAAAAATATCATAAGTTATTCTAAAATCCTACATTAACCAAAACATTGTAGTCCGTGATACGGTGAATTGGTGCGTCTGTTTCCACAGCTTGGACGAGGGTTGTCGTGTGCCCTTTTGTCGTTAGCCCTAAGTGTGTGTTCGGTTTCCTTGTCCGCCCTCTGTGTTCTCCTGGTATTGTCCCCATAGATCCCATATTCTGCCAAATTTTTTGGTGGTGTGCCTGACCAGGGAAGTTAACCTGTCCATAAGGTAGTTATCTTTTATCTTCGCTACGACCGGTGCTACAGGGGGCATTTCCAGACATAGCCATTTCTGTGCTAGTGCTCTACGGGCCGCTAAGTAAACCATATTTAACAATTGTTGCTCCGGGCGTGGAAGGACATCTGTTGGTCTGGAGAGGAGGCAGGCCCAGGGGTCTAGTTTTAGTGATCTCTGCAATATGTTAGTACTTAGGTTGATAATTTGAACCCAATAAGCCTGTACTAAGGGGCACTTCCACCACATATACACATAGGTGCCTTGTTCCACGCAGCCGTGCCAGCAAAGATCTGTGGGGGTGTTCTACATGCGGAATTGTTTTAATGGTGTGGTGTACCACCTGAAAAGTGTTTTAAATGATTGTTCCTGGAGGGTGACACATATTTATGATCGGGCTGTGGCCTCCCAAATATCCTGCCAATCGGAGCCCTCTAATGTCTCTCCCAGGTCTGTCTCCCACTGGTCCGTGTATCGTAGCTCCCCCCATTCTTTGGCCTCCCCGCTGAGGTGAGAGTATAGTAATGATATGAGTCCACTGGGGTGTTTTTCCTGATAGCATATATTCTCGAACCAGTTGAGGGGGAGAGTGGCAGTCTCCTTGACTTCTTTTGAGCTAGCAAAGTCTCGTAGTTGGAGGTAGCGGAAGAAGTCCTTGGTTGTAAGGGAGGATTGTTCACTGAGCTGGTCGTAAGTGACTACTTGGCCGTTTTTATATAAATGGCAATATATCTGGATACCTGCTCTCTCTCGGCCGCTAAAGTCACCTGCTGTCATTCCTGGTGGGAAGGATCGGTTCCTGAGTACAGGGGACATTGGGGAGGGGAACCTGCTTAAGGAGTACATGGTTGCTATTTGGTCCCAGATTCTTCGGGAGTTCGTTATTGCTGGGAAGGTTACTCTAAGGAGTGCTCTGTGTGTCTTGTGTAACCAGGGATAGAACTGTGGTAGGTCTTGCCCTATTAGTGAGGTTTCAAGTTCTACCCAAAGACGGGTGTCTGGTGTGGAGTGCCAATATGCTATTTGCGCCGTCTGCGCTGCTAGGTAGTATAGGTACATGTTCAGTAGTCCCAGTCCCCTCTGTCCTTGGGTCGGTACAGGAGTTTCCTGGCTATTCTGGGTCGTTTCTTTTGCCAAATTAACATGTCTATTGCTTTTTGGAGTGTGGACAAGTCGATCCTCTTAACCAGTGTGGGCAGGGCCTGGAACATGAATAGTAATCTGGGGAGAATGTTAATTTTAATTGAGTGGAGTCTACCTAACCATGAAATGGGTTTGTCCGTCCACTGCTCCAGGTCTCTCAGGAGTGTACGAATCAATGGGGAGTAGTTAGTGTCATGTAGGTGTTCGTACTGTGCTGTAAGTTTGATCCCTAGATAGGGTATGTTGTCAGCTGTGGTGGGTAGGCAGTGTCTGTCGTGTATTATAGCTCTGTCTTGGGTCGGGAGGTGGAATGGTAGTGCCATGGATTTGACGAGGTTCACTCTATAGCCCGCAAGGGTGTTCCGTACTTGTCCAGGTGGTCAGTCAAATGTTCCATGGAGTTCAAGGGGTCTGTGAGAGTCAGCAGCACGTTGTCTGCATACGCGGAGACTTTGAAGGTTTTCCCTGCTACCCTTATTCCTTGTATGTGTGGGTGTTGGCTTATGGCTTATAGTAACGGTTCTAGGGGGATGGCGAATAGCAGTGGGGATAGAGAGCATCCCTGACGTGTACCACTATGAAGGTGGAAGGGGGTCTTAGTGGCCCCTACTATTCGGGTTTGGGCTCTCGGGTTAGCATATAAAGCGCGCGTGGCCTGGATGTAGGCTTCTGGGAATCCCCATTCTTCCAGCAGGCCAAACAGGTATGGCCATTGCACCCTGTCAAAAGCCTTCTCCGCATTGTCTACCGGGAATGAACCCCACCTGGTCTGGGTGGATTAAGCGTGTGAGCATCGGTGCCAGCCTGGCCGCCAGGATTTTTGCATATATTTTAATGTCCGAATTAATCAGGGAGATGGGCCTGTAATTCGATGCGAGTTCAGCGTCTTTCCCGGTTTTCGGGATAAGCGTGATGTTGGCTAATGCCATGTCGGCATCGGGTGCGCCCCCTGTCATAAAGTAATCATATAAAGAGGTGAGGTGGGGGGCCAGTTCTTCTTTGAATTTCTTGTAGTACCCTATTTCGTAGCCATCGGGGCCTGGGGCATTGTTCCCTTTTAAGATCGCTATAGCAGTTTCTACTTCTAATTGGGAGATCGGTTCTTGTAAGTTTGTGGTGTCTATATCTGTTATCTGAGGTAGCTTTATACTGGCAAGGAATGTACGTAGTGAGGAATGTATAGACACGTTCAATTCTTAAAGGGAGCTTTCATGCTTTCTGGAACACAAATGACAAGGAATGCCATACCAATACATGCACAACAGTAATAAATGCCTTGTGTCCAAGCAAATAAAATGGGCTTCTCCAGCACTGCCAATACTGTGATAATTCCATTCACAGCTCCACCAGAACCTCAAATCCTGAAATAATTCCATTCACAGCTCCACCAGCACCGAAAATCCTGTAATAATTCCAATCACAGCTCCACCAGCACTGCAAATACTGTAATAATTCCAATCACAGCCACCAGCACCGCAAATACTGTATTAATTCCAATCACAGCTCCACCAGCACCGCCAATACTGTAATAATTCCAATCACAGCTCCACCAGCACCGCCAATACTGTAATAATTGTAGTTTATGCTAACGTAATGGTGATGGAAACCAACTGTTGTCTACATTAAATCCAGTACTATACGTATCTATATTTATATTAAGTTAATATACTGAAACATTAAACAACCATAGTATACTAAATAATCAACACGGATCTAACACATGTCAATCATATAAGCATCCCATGGATATACTGAAATACCAAAACTGGTAATATTTTGATTATATTATAATTATTATAATTATTATTATAATTACACTGAGAAAATGACAAACCAGAGTCTCGGGAGGGAAAATATTCGCCTCCTGTCATTATTAAAATTAAGATTATAGGTACACTACGTTAGCATAATCTACAATTTTATCACATGACAGGAGGCTTCATATTTTGCATTTTTAAAACCTGTGGTATGAGCGAGAAGGATGCGTGTGTAGTTGCCGAAAATAAATATATGGAAGTAGTCTATCCGTGTCCAATTCGTCGCTGTAAAATATAGAGGGCCCCCCCGTGAAGGCCTGAGAAGCAGCCGCACCTCGTACCGAATGAATACCCAAAACACGTCTCCACCCCCGCTAGCAATAACAACCAATGAACCCATCCAGACAGAGTGTTCATGGTAACTGGCTTGTATGGTTAGTATAGCACCAGCAGATGTCCTGAATGTGACAACCTAAGTGTTTTCGGGATCTCCATGTAACAAAGTACCGCTTTAACTGCACAAAGACTGGGAAACCGCCGGGAACAGGGTAAGATACGGATGCGGATAAGATTTAGTTCTACGAGACACCGTAGAAATCATTCCTTCCGGTGATACCGAAAATACAGTCTACGTCGAACTCCAGTACATCTGATACCCAACGAAAAGACCTAAAAGTAACGTGACTATGGCTGACGGAGGGATAGGTCCGTGTTATCTGACTAGTTCCAAAAGAACCAAATCAAAGTTCCACAACAGTGATACTTTGACGCATGGTTCTGGACAGTTTGATACCCCGCAGACAGCGGCATATCAAAGGTTCCTGATCGACCGGAGTGTCGTGAATCGTACTATGCGTCGTTGAAATCGCGGAACATATCCCGTTAATGGAACGGTCCGATCGTTCCAATCAGCCCGTAGTGAAAAGGTATAATAAAGATTCAGCATCAAGGAGATAGGGGTAATAAAGGGATCGCAGTCTGTAAGGAGACCAATCTCGCCACTGTGCATTGGAGGAGCCTGGTTGTCTGCCTGCTGCCTTTTGACTATGGACCAATACTTAAATTTTCCTATGCAGAAAGGTCTATTCCTGTATTTCTGCCCTGACGTTCAGTAGATTCTCGGATTTACTGAATAAACTAATTTAACCCAGATAGCTATGCCATGGAGCCTATTCATATAATAAAAGACTTTGGCTCCATGGCGATTGAACTGTATGTGTGTGGTCTGAGCGCCATTCAGTAATAATGTACGCTCAGACCTGAACTATCTGGGGATATGTTGTGTATTTTATTGAATTCTACTGTCTTTTTTTTACTGCCATGTGCTTAATGGAGTTTTGCCTCTGTCTTTGGAGATAATTGGATTACTTCCCAATTATCTCCAGGATAGACTCTGTGGAACTGGTTTTGGGCAGAAAAGCCATGCTTCATTTGGTCACAAAGGACTTTGATCTATCTTTTGAACCAATGGACCAATTTGGATGATTTTGACATATGTTTGTATTTGGAGTATGCTGAGTATGTAATTTTATGTGAATGTGATGCATACTTTTCAAGTTATGAATAATGTGGAAAAACTGTATTTCTCTGGCTGTGATAATTACATTACCCATTGTGTAAGGTAATTGTATCACAGGCAGAGGGGAGGATTTTGAGTGTCTGAGTGTATTGTACGTGTTTATTGCTTGTGTTCCAAAACCCTGTGGGTGGTACTAATGTGTACATAAGAACAATAAACCCACAGCTCTGCCTGTTTCTGCTTGACCCTCAACACGGAGCCTTGTCTCGTTCTTGGGGGGATTTATTGTATGCTGTTCCGGTTTGACTGCTAGGAGTGTAAACCTATTCATATGGTTTTTCCTATTCGGCTGTTTACAGCATTCGTATGGTTCCGGTTCAGCTGTTTACGGCATTCATATGCTTCTCCGGTTCGGTGGATTGGTGTCTACAGTAGCTGCCTGTATATCTGGAAGGGGAATATCCTCTAAACGGCGGTTTAACACCTTTTTTGCCTGGGGGTGCTGTTACACAGTCCCTTCCCATACACCAGTGAACTCAAGGTGTTCCATGCGGATAAGTTATTTCGGGGAATACCTGGTGTCCATGAGTCCCATAATAGGTCTCTAGTTGGTTGCGTTAGTCCCTTGACGTACCAGTCTTCCCTGAATAAGACCCCAATCCACCAACTCCAGACGCTCCTGCATTATCAATGGATGATGTTCTCCTTTTGGATCTGCCCGAAGGCAAGTTTAAAACTGAAGTAGCAGAGGATGATCTCGAATTAAGGACAACCATTCTGGGTGCCACGCTTGACTCCTTTACTGCGGTAATGAGTACTATCAAAGTCTTCGCTATTCTGATCCCAATTTCATAGGTGTGTCCAGATCTCAGGCAGTGAGCTTTCAGCCGCTGTCTGGCCCGGTAATGAAGCGGTCCTGGGAAATAGTCACTAATAGTCTGTTCACTATGAATCCCAACAATTCCCGAAACTGTAAACATAAATCTTGTCTGTAAATGTAGTCAGGAATTGGATTTGCAAAAGGTCAGTAAGTCGTCTAGGTATGCGACAGTGGATACCCTTTGCTCTTCAGTGCGCTGTGACCGGCTTCAGAAACTTCATGAGGCACCATGTGAACCAGTAGGTAAGTGCCCTTCAAATCCAACCTTGCGAACCCCTTTCAAGGAGTAGATCCCCCTAAGAGATGGATACCTTCCTTCTTGAGGTGTTGGTACGCCCGAAACCATTGGTTTGGCGTAGGTTGATGACTAGTCTGCTGTCTTGTTCCTTACTACCAAACCGTTGCTGAGATAAATGGTTCTCCAAACAATAGTCCTCCCGCTTGAGGTCCTTGCTCTTTAGTCCCTAACTTCAATAATTTGAAATCCATCTTTAATCAGGCTGCTTTGCACCATTCTGTGCACCTGTCTGCCTTGCATTCCCCAACCTACATATTGCCCTTTGCACCCATTCCCTCACATCGTGAGTTTCTAGAGGTGAGTCTTGGGTGTAGTCAGGTCCGCAAAGTATAGAATTTTTTCCGAGGCTGATCATGTCCAGTATTTCATCCTAACTTGTTTTGAGTCCTTCGCCTTTACATGGACCCCAGCCTGATCGGGACATAAATATCACCACATGGTGAGGACTATCTTGTTCAGTCATAGAGGGTGTGGGCATTCCACCCTGAGCTTGTCTCGGACTTCTTTTCCCATAGGCCTCCTGAGCCTATGAAGTGGGCAAAGTGTGCACGGTGCTCCGGTTAACCCCATTCGGATGACCTTGGGTGTCGGATGGTGCGTGAGTAAAAAAACAGAAACCTTTCTTGCTAGGCGGGTCTTGTCACTTCACCTCTTCAGATGGAGACTCTTCTGTTCTCCATTGTTTCATGATCTCCAGAGAAGGGGGAGGGATGAAGTCCTCATCCACTAATGATGGAGCCTGAGATGATTAATTGACAGGACATTCTGAGATACGGCTCCGCTAAGACGAGGTGTTCCCTTTCCCCTTTGGAGAAGCCGCGTTGGAGCCCTTCCAATGGTGTTTAGATGATAAGGTGTCCGACCTAATGTTGTCGGTATCTCTAGCTTCCATTGGTGTTGGTGCCGTTGCACCCGCCCTGTCGGATGGGTTGTAAGCCATCATATTGGCGAGGACTTCTTCCCCCGAAGCTGCCGTGGCGGCCTTAATCCTCGCCTGAAAATCGGTCGGGGATATTGAGGGAAGTCCGACATGTTGGTTCACACCCTTTCAGTTTGTGGGAGACAGGATTGTATAACAGTACACTTATTGCCACTCAGTGGGCCTCCGCGTATAACTGGGCTCACCCAGAATTTCGATCAATCAGTACCACTTTTGCAGGATCCGGGGAGTGGTCTGAGAATGAAGACACCCTCAGTAAGACTGGGATGAGCGGTCTGCAATGTCGAAACGTAGCCTGAGTATGGGAGACGTGAAAGCCTCAATATGTATAATCCAAGAGGGTTAAAGAGGGGTTATAGCGCCTAGAATTGTGGAGTCTTGGCAGTATTGTGAGTTCTCCTTCTCGGTTAAGGGAAGGGCATACAGATCCCCCAGTTGAAGCATAGAGGTGCCGGAATACATGCGTCTAGTGCGCCCCTGGTCTGTGCATACAATGACAGAGCGTGCTCTGAAGGTAGAAGCCCTAGAAAGGGCGCGGCGGGTCACCCCGTCTGGCAGGGGGGGGTCAACCCTTTGTACGTATGCCACTAGCACCAGAGTAAGACTCGCTTGGGGGTCACCCAGCGTAGTGGGGTCACCCCTGTATGTATGTCTATTATGGTATGTTGGGACACTCTTTCGGTCTGTGGGGTACCGAACAGGTGACAGGTACGGTAATACACTTATTGCCACTTAGTGGGCCTCCACGTACGACTGGGGATCACCCAGAATTGTTTCAATCAGTACCACTTAGAGATTTCCTGGGAGTGGTCTGAGGAGGGGGTCACCCTCAATAAGACCGGGATGAGCGGTCAGTAATGTCAGGACGAAGCCCTGGTATGGTAGCCTCCAAATTATCCAAGGGGTCACCCTTATGGGATATAGTTCTGTGGAGAATTGGCAGCACCGTGAGCTCTCCTTCCTGGCTCTGTCGATATACACGTATCCTGGTCTGTACATACAGTAACAGACCGTAATCCGTGGATATGAGCCCCCCAGTATATGTATGTCACTAGTACAGGAAGGTGTATCCCTGTGGGGAAGGAGTGTATCCAGTGGCTGTGAGGTCCGGTGGGAGTAGGGAGCTGAGTAAGTTATCAGCTCTATTTAATTTCCCTGCCAGCAGATAGAGTACTGCATCCACTATATGCCCACAGCAGGGAACAGTTCATTCATAATCCTCCAGACATACATTAAAACTGTTATTCATGCAGAGTTACATATAAAACTTTTATTTCACATGTCAATGAAATATGCCAGTATAGAGCTCAGCAGTGAACAGTCCATTCATAATCTTCCAGAAAAGGTACATAGAAAACCTTTATTCCACATGCCCATGATATGTAACCGTACTGAGCTCAAAAGTAAAACTTTTATTTCGCAGGAAAAATATTTTAACCCCTTAAGGACCATACTTCTGGAATAAAAGGGAATCATGACATGTCGTGTCCTTAAGGGGTTAAACAGTACAGATCTAGCTGCCAGTTCGTGGGAATCACGAACTGGCTAAACGACACGGCCGACGTGAATCTCGCAAGTGCCGCGAGATTCAAGATGGCCGCCATTTGCGCGCAAAGCGCTGTGCGGCCCGCGATCGAGGATACGATCGCCGCCCACCGATATTGAACAGAGTCTCCCCCGACACCCCCAACCCTCAGAGACCTGCCCTGAAGTCCCAGCACCAGTGAATAAAAAAGCGTTCTCGTGGTAAAACGCTGCGATCCGTGCGAGACCAGAGTAAAGCATAGGAAAGAAAAGGTGCCAGCAACAGAAAACCAAACAGGCTAATAAAGCAGAAAATACAGAGTTAAATCGGGGGAAGGGTAACAGGGGGAGAATATCACACTATACAAGTCCAAATGGAAGGCAAGTGCAAAATAATGAAATGAAAACCGTTTAGGTCAAAATGCAGGACCAGCTAATAAAGTTTAACTAAAGTGGCCATGCATATCCAGAAACAGTTTGGAGCAAAACTGAATGTCTAGCATTAAAAATCTAACTAAAGTGACCATAGCAATATTAATAAAAACAGTTGGAGCAAACTGAAAGTCAAGTAATAGAGTTTAATTAAAGTTACCATTGCAATATCTGGAAAACCAGTTAAGATTAAAACTGAATGTCTAGCATAAGGTGTCTAATTAAAGGGACCCTAACAATATTAATAAAAAAAACAGTTTGGCGCAAAACTGAATGTTAAGCAATACATGTTTAACTAATGACAATTTGCAATATCCGTAAAACAGTTTGGAGCACAATACTCTGACCTGTGCCCTGGCTGGAGCAGCAAAGAAAGAGGAAGTCATGTGTCTGTCAGGGCTTTATATATGGATGTGATGCCTGTTACTGATTGGTTTAAAGTTTACTGCAAATACTGTAATAATTCCAATCACAGCCACCAGCACTGCCGATACTGTAATAATTCCAATCACAGCCACCAGCACTGCCGATACTGTAATAATTCCAATCACAGCCACCAGCACTGCAATACTGTAATAATTCCAATCACAGCTCCACCAGCACCGCCAATACTGTAATAATTCCAATCACAGCCACCAGCACTGCCGATACTGTAATAATTCCAATCACAGCCACCAGCACTGCCAATACTGTAATAATTCCAATCACAGCTCCACCAGCATCGCAAATACTGTAATAATTCCAATCACAGCCACCAGCACCACCAATACTGTAATAATTCCAATCACAGCCACCAGCACCGCCAATACTGTAATAATTCCAATCACAGCCACCAGCACTGCCAATACTGTAATAATTCCAATCACAGCCACCAGCACCAATACTGTAATAATTCCAATCACAGCTCCACCAGCACCGCCAATACTGTAATAATTCCAATCACAGCCACCAGCACCGCCAATACCGTAATAATTCCAATCACAGCCACCAGCACTGCCAATACTGTAATAATTCCAATCACAGCTCCACCAGCATCGCAAATACTGTAATAATTCCAATCACAGCCACCAGCACCACCAATACTGTAATAATTCCAATCACAGCCACCAGCACCGCCAATACTGTAATAATTCCAATCACAGCCACCAGCACCGCCAATACTGTAATAATTCCAATCACAGCCACCAGCACTGCAAATACTGTAATAATTCCAATCACAGCTCCACCAGCACCAATACTGTAATAATTCCAATCACAGCTCCACCAGCACCGCCAATACTGTAATAATTCCAATCACAGCCACCAGCACTGCCAATACCGTAATAATTCCAATCACAGCCACCAGCACCGCCAATACTGTAATAATTCCAATCACAGCTCCACCAGCACCAATACTGTAATAATTCCAATCACAGCTCCACCAGCACCGCCAATACTGTAATAATTCCAATCACAGCCACCAGCACTGCCAATACCGTAATAATTCCAATCACAGCTTACTTGTGTTATTATCAGAGGTTGGGTAATGTTTTACACCGGATTCACCTATTGTCATACTAAATAAATGTGATTGTATGTTTAGCTGTTCTTGTAAGTGAGGTTGTTGCTGGCATGGCGGTGAAGGTCAGCATTTGTTAGTTTGTTTTTAGGTTAATCATTTTTTCACCTGTTTTTATTTAACTTTCAGTGCTCTGCATGGGCGGTACCAGTGAAATCCCCTAGGTGCACATATTCCTGATTGGTTAGTTTTCTGTGACTCTCCTTTACCTTGTGGTTGGTTACCTTGAAGCTTTCTTGGTTATCTTACAGAGCCGTTCTGGGAAATCTATACTGATCTGTTTCTTTATGGTGCTATAGGTATTGGTTCTTGCAGATGGCACTTGGTGATAGTTTCTCATGGGACTTTATGCTGATCTTTAACCTTATAAATAGTCTGAAATAACGCAGGTTGGGTAAGGGGGTAATGCACATTAACACATTTGACTAATACGCCTCACCTGGGGGTTGTGTATTTTTTTTTTTTACATTCTTCATAGTTTTTTCTTGTGGTGCAATTAATGGCTGAAAAATGCTCCAGCAGTCTTGTTATATCCTGCACCGAATAGAGCGGCAGTTGCCTATTCTCCAGATTTTGTGGACATTGAAGGACTTATTGCAGTCTGCTCAGTTTTCCTGAAAGAACCGTGGGGTTAGCAGAATTACTATACGGCATGAAGAGGTAATGCTATTATCGTACACGTTTCGACATGGTCTGTTAAGCTGTGACATTAAATCACTATGGGGACATATCAAAACCAAGAGCAGTATGTCTGTCTGTCTGGTAGTTCTGGTGTGTCCATACCAGTAATTCTGTGTGTGGTGGACCACCAGAGTATCGCCGCCAAGGATTCCCTTTCCATAGTGTGAAGTAGCTCTATCCAACCGCAGAAGTGATTATAGCTAGTATAGTTTTCCTCCCATACATTAGTCGAGACTGAATGTTTAGAGTAGATCTACTTTATTTGGGTAAATCCCACAGAATTTATACTCAGTCCCCCAGAATGGGGTCTCCATACAGAACAACATAAAATTCTTCCAGGTGTCTGGGAGATAATTGAGTCAAAAGCCTGGTAATTCAATTATCTCCCAGTTGCAGGAATAAAAAAAAAAAAACACTCAAAACCCCATTAAATTCTCACAGGAACCTCACATGTCCTATATCCCCTGATAGCCCAGATAGTTGTCCAAATAGCGCTCAGATCTGTTTGGTGTAGTGGTATCGCCACCAGGGTAAACTTTTGACCGGCTAGCCACGAGGTTGTAGCCCAGTTCCAGGGGTAAGCAGACAGCGACCGGTCAACTTTTGGGAACTCTTGTGCAAAAACAACTGGATGTTCTCCCTGGCTCTTAGGTAGCAAATGTATATGATAGGTCACCAAGTCTTTTCCTCGACGAGCACTCTCCTGGCTTGTCTGTAGGCAGAGCAGGCGGCAGTGCAAGTTCATCGGGATTCCCGAGTTGTCGTGTCCGAATCTAGTTCCATGCGGTCGACGACAAAGTACTGCTCCTCTGTTCAGCAGACAAGATGGCCACCATTCCAAAGAACACATGTGTTTGGTAATACAAATGGCGCCTTTCCAGGAAGAGCATTTGCGTTAAGTTAATAAGCCAGGGGGTGGTCTGGGTTTCGGAAGTATAAAAAAAGTGGATACGAATCTCCGTTCGGGAAATGAAAAGGGGGTACAGAGAGACAAATGAAGAAGGGAACTAACACAAGTGATGACGGGATTTTGTCACACTGTGGTTTGGCCCAGATCTCTACAGTCTCGCTATGATTAATTTCTCAGTGACCAGAATCTAAGACTTTGAGCAAAATCTATCACTACTATTTTTGTGATGTTGTTTTTGATGGCATGGCTTTTTCATCTGCCTTCAAACCGACCACGTTCAGTTCTAGTAAAGAGATTTGACCAGTCTTTCTCTGTGGTATTTACTAGACCAGGGGTAGGCAACCTTTTAGCAGCACTGTGCCGATATAGGATTGTGATGCCCCGTAGCATGCCGGTCCTATTTTTGAAAATTGAGGTCTGTATGCTGCAGTATTTTGCGTGTTATTTATACTGTAATTGCTTTGTATTGTTGTATTTGTGTGTATATGAGCTATTATATTGTATATGTTCAGGAGTAGTTTGTGGTATCGTGTATGATATATATGAATGTGGGCTGTGTACGGGGGCTGCTTGTGGAATTGTGTGTGTGGATGGATGAGTCACATTGTGGATTTGGTAGTGTGTGTGTGTGTGGGGGCTGTTTGGGGTATTGCATGTGAGAGGCTGCTTGTGGGGTTGTGTGCATGTATGTGGATTGTTAGCTGGTTACGTTTGTGCGGATTGTGTGTATGTTTGTGGGCTGTTCGTATTATTTGCTTATTGTGCATTTCTGGGTATATCTAGCAGTGTGGGTGGCTTCTCTGGGTTCCAGTGGGGACCAGTCCGGCCAGGTACAGGTCAAGTACAGGAGCTGCAATATCCGCTGTGGGCTGCTCTACTACAGTGTGGATTCCCATTCACAAGTGCTGGGAGGAAGGGACCTGAGATCACTTACTCTATGTGCTGCAATGCATAAATTGAGGATTGTCCTTTTCGTATTCGCAGATATCTGAAGTTTCACTGGGACTCCTGATAGGCCAGAGCCTGTGTGGCTCTAGCAGCCTTGAGTGCCGTGCATGGCACTAGTGCCGTAGGTTGCCTACCCCTGTACTAGGACATACATATGAAGGTTTTTTGTTACCTTCTGGTGTTTGAGTCTTTACAACTGGTTTGAGATAAATCAGGGCTTTTCATTGCATCCAAAAACTTTCCAAATCTTGGTCACATTGATAATATAGAATTAACATTTTTCTTAGCTTTGTTGAATCTAGACGATATTGATTGGTTGAGAGTGCCAATCGGTATCTTCCAAGTTGGACACCATTGACTTTGGAAATGGGAAAGTGTTTGTTGTGATTTATTGTTGCAGCCCAGATGGGGTAGATCCCAAAACACCAGATGGAGATCCCAGTTAGCGCCTGACCTTCCTAAAGATATTAAACCGAGAGACTGCACCGGGGCACTCTAGTGATGTAATAATGTTTTAGTGTGTCCCTTAGCCCACGCAGGTCTTGTTTCTTCATGTTTTCACCAGTTCTCCGTAGGCCCTCACCCATGCTCTGTTTGCATGCTCATTCTTTTTTGTCTTTGAGAAAAGCCAGTGATGTGATGGGGAAGCTCTACATACACTTTGCCAGATCTTGGCAAAGTGTATGCCAGATCCTACAGTTATGTTTAAACATTTTGTAGATGCTTGTTTGGCAGGTTTGTATCAGATTCTGGGCAAAGACACCTTCACTTGACCCACACACCGTGCCATCGTCTTAGCTCAGTCACCCTCTGCCCTCTTCGCCATAGAGAAGCTTGGGTAGGGGTACTTTAGGATGACGCTAGTATTGGTAACAAAAAATCTAATATTGTTTTCATACCTCCTCTAATTTCAGTAACATGGTTATATTTCCCGGGGTGCTGATATATGTTAAGGTACCCCTTACTCATTGTGTGGATTTTACTGCTTTATCCATAATCCTAACATTTATTTAGAAATTGCACACTTTGCTTGAATCTTATTTAAACTTTGCACATTACATACAAGTCCCCCTTATTACAGAGGCAAAAGCCCATAAAACTACCCTGTCTCACAGTCTTCAATGACTAAGGCTCCCTGCTGTGGAAATGAGTCCGAGGACCCAGGACTACAGGGAGTGCAATAAATAGAGGAACAGAGATGGTTCCAGTGTGCATATCACTCCAGATTAAAGGATAGAACTAAAAGTCAGGATGGCTCGTCCTGTATAAACTGAGGTTAAGGAGAAGGCTTTGTTTATTTTTGGTTGTGCGATACCTTGTAGTTAAGCTGAATATTGTGGGAAAATTTGTAAACATTTTTGATGTATCTTTCTACATAGAAAAGTGGTTGTGATAGTGGGTGGACCTCTTATTTACCGATTCCTGTGAGACCTCTGTGCCTGTTTTTCTTGTGGTTAAATCATTGTATTTTGTGTCTGGTTGCTCGCTCGCTGCATTAATCTGTGATAACCCACCTCCCTTCTCTCCACAGCGGCGTCGGCAGAAACTGGGGCTGGGCGTCGGCAGGGAGCAGTATTCTGGCTGAGTTTGGTACTTTACATCTGGAGTTTGTTCACCTGAGTTACTTGACTGGAAATCCTGTCTATTACAACAAGGTAAGGCCTACGTCACCAAGCCATGACTTCTCACTGGATCAGTAGCTTTGAGATGGTGTGAGGTACATATTGATGGAGAAATACAGGTGTGTGCCACATACAGTTCAACCAAAACAAATCTATAGGGAAGATTTATCATACCGCTTACCTCTATCTAAACCAGCCGTAGCCCGCTTACCTCTATCTAAACCAGCCTTAGCCCGCTTACCTCTATCTAAACCAGCCTTAGCCCGCTTACCTCTATCTAAACCAGCCTTAGCCCGCTTACCTCTATCTAAACCAACCGTAGCCCGCTTACCTCTATCTAAACCAGCCGTAGCCCGCTTACCTCTATCTAAACCAGCCTTAGCCCGCTTACCTTTATCTAAACCAGCCGTAGCCCGCTTACCTCTATATAAACCAGCCGTAGCCCGCTTACCTCTATATAAACCAGCCATAGCCCGCTTACCTCTATATAAACCAGCCGTAGCCCGCTTACCTCTATATAAACCAGCCGTAGCCCGCTTACCTCTATATAAACCAGCCGTAGCCCGCTTACCTCTATATAAACCAGCCGTAGCCCGCTTACCTCTATATAAACCAGCCGTAGCCCGCTTACCTCTATATAAACCAGCCGTAGCCCGCTTACCTCTATCTAATCCAGCCGTAGCCCGCTTACCTCTATCTAAACCGGCCGTAGCCCGCTTACCTCTATCTAAACCGGCCGTAGCCCGCTTACCTCTATCTAAACCGGCCGTAGCCCGCTTACCTCTATATAAACCAGCCATAGCCCATTTACCTCTATATAAACTAACTGTAACCCGCGCTCAAGATTGCATTATTATTTTTATTATTTATAAAGCGCCAACAAGTTCCATAGCGCTGTACAATGGGTGGACTAATAGACATGTATTTGTAACCAGACGAGTTGGACGCACAGGAACAGAAGGGTTGATGGCCCTGCTCAGTGAGCTGACATGTTAGAGGGAGTGGGCTATAGTGACACAGTAACAGAGGGATTGAGGGCCTGCTCAGTGAGTTTACATGTTAGAGGGAGTGGGGAATACTGACACAGGTTGATTGAGGGCCCTGCTCAGTGAGTTTACATGTTAGAGGGAGTGGGGTATAGTGACACAGTAACAGAGGGATTGAGGCCCTGCTCAGTGAGCTGACATGTTAGAGGGAGTGGGCTATAGTGACACAGTAACAGAGGGATTGAGGGCCTGCTCAGTGAGTTTACATGTTAGAGGGAGTGGGGTATAGTGACACAGGGGGATTGAGGGCCCTGCTCAGTGAGTTTACATGTTAGAGGGAGTGGGGTATAGTGACACAGTAACAGAGGGATTGAGGGTCCTGCTCAGTGAGTTTACATGTTAGAGGGAGTGGGGTATAGTGACAGTAACAGAGGGATTGAGGCCCTGCTCAGTGAGTTTACATGTTAGAGTGAGTGGGGTATAGTGACACCGTAACAGAGGGATTAGTCCCTAGCCTTATCTTATAGTTAGGATAGCCTTATGCCTATCCCACACATGCTTAAACTCCTTTACTCTGTTAACCTATACCACTTCAGCTGGAAGGCTATTCCATGCATCCACTACCCTCTCAGTAAAGTAATACTTCCTGATATTATTTTTAAACCTTTGTCCCTCTAATTTAAGACTGTCCTCTTGTTGTGGTAGTTTTTCTTCCATTAAATATGGTCTCCTCCTTTACTGTGTTGATTCCCTTTATATATTTCAATGTTTCTATCATATCCCCCCTGTCTCGTCTTTCCTCCAAGCTATACATGTTAAGATCCTTTAACCTTTCCTGGTAAGTTTTATCCCGCAATCCATGAACCAGTTTAGTAGCCCTTCTCATTGTTCTGTGCAATGGCATGAGCACTTCCCTCTTTCTACTGCTAATACCTCCCCCTATACAAAGAAAGTCTGTAACACCCTGTTCTCCATTAATGGAAATTTAACCAAATTATGTTCTTTAATGGATCTTTCAACCCACCTAAAAGGTCTTGGATATGCTTCAGCTGGTCTGTCTGTCCTATCATCCAGTCTCTCTCCAGTTCCAGTAACCTAGCCGAGGGATCTGCAGATATTGAATTTTATAATTTCATGTCTTACAGGTCATGCACATCCGAAAACTTCTGCAAAAGATGGATCGTCCCAATGGGCTTTATCCAAACTACTTGAACCCGAGGACAGGACGCTGGGGGCAGCGTAAGTGAAAGTATAGACTTTACAAAGTGCAGAATGTAACCAGAAGGGGGGAGTATAACTGGGCAGCCGTGACCTGCACTATATTATATGCGGTGTCATATATTCAGAGTGCTGATCGCTTTCTTCTTAAAGTAACAGTGTTAGATTAAAGTCTACTCAGGAGTGTGTTGGGGTAGAAGGTTCTAAAACACTTTGTGTTCCCTGATAGATCACACGTCTGTGGGTGGTTTGGGAGACAGTTTCTATGAATACCTTCTGAAGGCCTGGCTGGTCTCTGACCGAACAGATGTTGATGCTCGGAAAATGTACGATGATGCAATTGAAGTGAGTATTTAAAATTTCTACCTACCTTATACCTACCTAGTACTATACTCCAAACTGTGAACTTATAGAAACTCGATACTATGTATCATATCCATCATTACTGTGTACTGCACCCACACAGTGATATTATATAAACATTACCATGTACTGTACCCAGACAGGGATATTAGATAACCGCTACCGTGTACCATACCCAGACAGGAATATTATATAAACATTACCGTATACCGTACCTAGACAGGGATATTATATAAACATTACCGTGTACCATACCCAGACAGGAATATTATATAAACATTACCGTATACCGTACCTAGACAGGGATATTATATAAACATTACCGTGTACCGTACCTAGACAGGGATATTATATAAACATTACCGTGTACTGTACCCAGACAGGGATATTATATAAACATTACAGTGTACTGTACCCAGACAGGGATATTATATAAACATTACTGTGTACTGTACCCAGACAGGGATATTATATAAACATTACCGTGTACCGTACCTAGACAGGGATATTGTATAAATGTTACCGTGTGCTGTACCTAGACAGGGATATTATATAATAATTACCGTGTACCGTACCCAGACAGGGATATTATATAACCATTACAACGTACCATACCCAGACAGGGATATTATATAAATGTTACCGTGTACCGTACCCAGACAGATATATTATAGAAACGTTACCGTGTACTGTACCCAGACAGGGATATTAGATAACCGCTACCGTGTACCATACCCAGACAGGAATATTATATAAACATTACCGTATACCGTACCTAGACAGGGATATTATATAAACATTACCGTGTACCATACCCAGACAGGAATATTATATAAACATTACCGTATACCGTACCTAGACAGGGATATTATATAAACATTACCGTGTACCGTACCTAGACAGGGATATTATATAAACATTACCGTGTACTGTACCCAGACAGGGATATTATATAAACGTTGCCGTGTACTTTCCCCAGACAGGGATATTATATAAACGTTGCCGTGTACCGTACCCAGACAGGGATATTATATAACCATTACTGTGTACTGTACCCAGACAGGGATATTATATAAACGTTGCCGTGTACCATACCCAGATAGGGATATTATAGAAACATTACCATGTACTGTACCCAGACCAGGATATTATATAAACGTTGTCGTACACCGTGTACCGTACCCAGACAGGGATATTATAGAAACGTTACCGTGTACCGTACCCAGACAGGGATATTATAGAAACGTTGCCGTCTATATTATATAATATTATATTGTTGGTTGAGTACCATTTTACAGAATTCATTGTAGAAACAACTAAAAATACAAACTTTCACCCAAGAAAGCTGTTGGGTTTATTCTCTGTAATACAGGTGATCTTTGTCTGAATATAGTCATTCTGACCTCCCAGGACTGGTGTAACAGAGACTCGACCAATTACAGTTTTACCCAGTTACCTTCTCATTAACCAGCTTTACCAGGACACTCATTAATACTTTGTTGTTTGTTTTTACTTTATTTTGCTATATTATTGTATGAAATAGTATTTTACCTCACAGTCTTAGATTACTGTTCACTCTCCCCACCTGTCTAGGCAATAGAGAAGCACTTAGTTCGGAAGTCAAATGGAGGTCTTACCTTTATTGGTGAATGGAAAAATGGCCACCTGGAGCGCAAAATGGGTCATCTGACCTGTTTTGCAGGTGGGATGCTGGCACTTGGTGCTGACGGGTCACCAGGAGACAAAGCTGGGCACTATTTGCAACTGGGTGCCGAAATTGCTCATACTTGCCATGAGTCATATGACCGCACAGGTAGGTCATCACTTGATGAGATATGAAAGGTAATGGGAGGTAATTCCTCCCTTCTGCACCTCACCCTCCACTTCCCCTCTGCTGCACCTCACCCTCCACTCGTCCCCTCACCCCCCTTCACATTTTTTTTATTTCTTATTAGTGCTTAAGTTGGGGCCGGAAGCTTTTAAATTTGATGGAGGTGCTGAGGCCGTGGCTGTGCGTCAGAATGAGAAATATTACATCCTGCGACCAGAGGTGATTGAGACGTACTGGTACATGTGGCGTTACACCCATGATCCTAAATACCGACTCTGGGGCTGGGAAGCAGCTCAGGTGAGTACCAAGAAATCACAACCTCCCTTCCCTTGCTGGCTGGCATTGTTTCTCAGTGTGCCCCATCAGTACCCTTGCCTTGCTGGCTGGCATTGTTTCTCAGTGTGCCCCATCGCTGCCCTTCCCTTGCTGGATGGCATTGTTTCTCAGTGTGCCCCATCGCTGCCCTTCCCTTGCTGGCTGGCGTTTCTCAGTGTGCCCCATCAGTGCCCTTCCCTTGCTGGCTGGCATTGTTTCTCAGTGTGCCCAATTGCTGCCCTTCCTTTGCTGGCTTTCCTTGTTTCTCAGTGTGCCCCATCGCTGCCCTTCCCTTGATTTAGGTAAGCTAGAAAAATGGTCAGAATTGTGGCAACTGACATTTAATGTGGATAAGTGCAAGATAATGCATCTTGGACGTAAAAACCCAAGGGCAGATTACAGAATATTTGATAGAGTCCTAACCTCAACATATGAGGAAAGGGATTTAGGGGTGATTATTTCTGATGACTTAAAGGTAGGCAGACAATGTAATAGAGCAGCAGGAAATGCTAGCAGAATGCTTGGTTGTATAGGGAGAGGTATTAGCAGTAGAAAGAGGGAAGTGCTCATGCCATTGTACAGAACACTGGTGAGACCTCACTTGGAGTATTGTACACAGTACTGGAGACCGTATCTTCAGAAGGATATTGATACCTTAGAGAGGGTTCAGAGAAGGGCTACTAAACTGGTTCATGGATTGCGGGATAAAACTTACCAGGAAAGGTTAAAGGATCTTAACATGTATAGCTTGGAGGAAAGACGAGACAGGGGGGATATGATAGAAACATTTAAATATATAAAGGGAATCAACACAGTAAAGGAGGAGACTATATTAAAAAGAAGAAAAACTACCACAACAAGAGGACAGTGTCTTAAATTAGAGGGACAAAGGTTTAGAAATAATATCAGGAAGTATTACTTTACTGAGAGGGTAGTGTATGCATGGAATAGCCTTCCAGCTGAAGTGGTAGAGGTTAACACAGTGAAGGAGTTTAAGCATGCGTGGGATAGGCATAAGGCTATCCTAACTATAAGATAAGGCTAGGGAGTAATGAAAGTATTTAGAAAATTGGGCAGACTAGATGGGCCGAATGGTTCTTATCTGCCGTCACATTCTATGTTTCTATGACTGGCATTGTTTCTCAGTGTGTCCCATCGCTGCCCTTCCCTTGCTGGCTGGCATTGTTTCTCAGTGTGTCCCATCGCTGCCCTTCCTTTGCTGGCTGGCATTGTTTCTCAGTGTGTCCCATCGCTGCCCTTCCTTTGCTGGCTGGCATTGTTTCTCAGTGTGCCCCATCGCTGCCCTTCCCTTGCTGGATGGCATTGTTTCTCAGTGTGCCCCATCACTGCCCTTCCCTTGCTGGATGGCATTGTTTCTCAGTGTGCCCCATCGCTACCCTTCCTTTGCTGGCTGGCATTGTTTCTCAGTGTGTCCCATCACTGCCCTTCCTTTGCTGGCTGGCATTGTTTCTCTGTGTGTCCCATCGCTGCCCTTCCTTTGCTGGCTGGCATTGTTTGCCCTTGATGAGTGCAGGATTCTCCGTTTGTTTTAACCACCCTTTGCTGGCTGTGACATTCTCCCTTCATTCTTTCTCCTTGCGCCATGTTGCTCTTCTGGCCTTGCCATCTACATCATTGCACTTCTTCCACTGTGTGTATTTATCCAACTCCAGCTCTATAGTGGATTCAGAATAATGTTTATAATAGTTTTTTAATACAAACTCCATAATGTAAGGGAATGTGGAACTATTGCAGTGTTAAACTTTATGGTGCGCAAGCTCCAGACCTGCCAAACCAGCCACAGCTACACAAAGAAGAAAAGGGTCTGGCACCCCTCCTTATGTGTGCCAGAATATCCTATTTGTGCCCTGTTCTAGGAAAACCATGTCTGATAAATCGTTGCTGTGAGAGATATGGAGGAATGCGGGACTGGTTTTAATTTGTGTTGCAATGTTGAGGTCCAATAATCCCCTGTGTTTGGAGATTCTCACCACAATGTAGAATGATTGGCACATTTCCTGTAAAATTGTCTGTCTGATGCAGCTTTGTCTCCCCCTACAGGCCATTGAGAAGTACTGCCGAGTTAGTGGGGGTTTCTCGGGTGTGAAAGATGTGTATTCATCGGCACCAGTGTATGACGATGTACAGCAGAGCTTCTTCCTGGCAGAGACCCTCAAGTGAGTTCTTTTATTTTATCCTTTACTAGGTGTAGCGGAGCTGCAGTATTAAATCCCAATATCTCTGCTGGTAAAAGAAGGAAATCCAAGGAAAGTGCTGAAAATGAAGGCAATATCCCCCAGTACCTGGACGAAACACAGTTCTGGGAGTCAACTGACGATTTTATTCACAAGCTCCAGTATTTATGTGGTTCCCCATGTAAGGGGTTTCCTTACTGACTTTACAGTGGTTGTACAGTAGGGGACTACATGGGGGGGGAACTTAACATATAGAACATTTCTTCCACCATGCACTGCTGTACGAGAGGGATACTCCCATTAGAATATCCTGTTAAGTGGATTATCCCTCCGAACAGCAGAATTGGCTTTTTACATAAAAATCCATAACTTTTTTTTTTTTTATTCATGTCACTGTACCGAATGACCGTTCGGCAGATAGCTGGGGTCTGAGCGCACACTTCGTGAAAGTACCGCTCAGATCCCCACACAATCAGCCGAACGCTGCACGAAATATACTTTAACATACATTCATCATAAAAGTCAAGAATACATAAGTCAGGAAAAAGTACCGAAAGACCAGCGCTCCCGAACGGCCTGGAAGTCCAGCGGTGTTCGTGCCGTCGAGTATCCGATTTTAGTTCCAGGCACGCGACGACCAAACACCGCTGGGCTAAAAGGAAATCCAAGATGGCCGCCGCCTCGTGGTCGGTAGCCGAACGACGGCCACCCGGGAATCAATTAACATACGATAGATACAATGTTGCGATCGGTTAATGGGATCCACACGACCCCCTGTGTGTGGGCTCCCATTCGGTACTTTGTTCGTTTCACGAACAGTGTTGAAAATCACTGTTCGAGAAACTACCATATGAATGCTAGCGGCTTTCGTGCCACTAGCATACGAATTCCCTCTTTCACATTTTAAACAAATACATCAAACTGCATATATAAACCAGTCTTTCTAGGGCAACCCTTAAAGTAAAACAAAAAATAGTCTGAAGTGGCTAGATTTGCCACACTAGGCATTATCAGGGATCATTACTATCAGCTATAAGAAAGACCTGCTCCTTATCTGGGATATTACTACCAGCTAATAGAAAGACCTGCTCCTTATCGGGGATCGTTGCTACCAGCTAATAGAAAGACCTACTCCTTATCGGGGATCATTACTACCAGCTAATAGAAAGACCTGCTCCTTATCGGTGATCGTTGCTACTAGCTAATAGAAAGACCTGCTCCTTATCGGTGATCGTTGCTACCAGCTAATAGAAAGACCTGCTCCTTATCGGGGATCATTACTACCAGACATGATGCTAGCTTTTATCCTCTCAACGATGGCCACTTCACAGAGTGCAACTGAATAGCTTTGTGATGCCAAGAGTGTGACTTCATGCTGAGCATTGTAGGATTCTGTACTTGGTGCAGTGGTAGGAAGTGAACGCTGTAACTGCCAATAGCAACGCACATATTTTATATTATTATTTTATATTCAGTCTATTTGTGTTACAGGAAATTTATGTTCTGTATTTTTTGTTTTTCTGTTACGTTTTCTTTTTTTTAGTTCATGAATTCACACGTACATATTTTAATGCTATCTAATTTACTGTGTAGAAACATTTTGCTAAGCATTCCACACACACACATTCACATTAAATACAGACACACACACACTCACATTAAATACAGACACACACACATTCACATTAAATACAGACACACACACACGCATTCACATTAAATACAGACAGACACACACGCATTCACATTACAGACACACACATTCACATTAGACACACATTCACATTAAATACACACACACACACACACACTAAATACAGACACACATTCACATTAAATACAGACACATTCAATACAGACACACACACATTGGTTCATTAAAAAGAAAAACATTACAAGTGAATTGTAATTTTTAGTCCAAAATACAGTTGTAATCGAAATTATTTAGTCCCCATAGAAAATGCAGTTTATTTTCTAAATGTACAGACTTTCAGCTGTTGCGAATGAGATGCATGGCCAGACTCCAGCTTCTGTCAGCGTTCCTGACGAGTCTTAGTCCATTACTTATGAGCAATTGCCTCCATTTCGGAAATATGTTGAGTTTGGGTGCTGCCAATTATAGCTATAATTTTAAAAAATTCCCCAAATCGGCTGTGTTTTCAGTTTGTCTATTTTGGCCTAACATTTTAGATTAAATTTAAATTTCAGAGACATCACACGCTAGTGAATATCCCACTTATCCTTTGCTCCCTGATGTCCAGACATGAGGACTTGTGTCCGAAAGCCAATCATTTATCTCCCTCTCTTTCAGGTATCTGTATCTCCTCTTCTCCAGCGAAGACCTCTTACCATTAGACAACTGGGTGTTTAACACAGAAGCTCATCCTTTACCAGTCCTACGCCTGGCCAACAGCACCTTTCCGTGGAATCATGTGGCACGATAGGACTTCCCAAACAGGGACCATTTTCCGGGGACCACTACTGACCTGATGGGGCTTTTACATGCATCCGAAACTGGGACAAGCAGCTACTCCCTGGGCACAATTCCATTTCCTTTCATTTTATGTCACCTCTGTTTGCTCCCAGAGACGACCAGCATGACCGCGAAAGCAAGCAAGGAGACGATTCACTGACCAAACTGCTCTGCTCAGGAAGGAAGGGAGAGGGTTCACCAATCAGGACTGGGGGCTGCATCGAGTGGGTGAGGGCAAATCACTCGTACACGCACTTTGTGGCACAGTTTGCACCAGGGCCGGGGATTTTAATATTATTGTATCTGACCTGGCATATTGAGAGCCATATTATGGTGACACGTTGATGGCTTTGGAGGTGGATCACGGGGGGAGCCAGTCTTCATGTTACCAGTGAATTGCCGAACATTAAGGATTGCCAGAGAGAACCTGTCCATCCCTGCCCCCCCCCCCCCCCCCACTGCCTCTCCCTTATTTCAGTTTGTGGTTCCTAGCCGCATGAGCAAGGCATCAAGCTGTGGATTAAAGAGACATTGTATAGAGCCTGGCTGGATTGTAACTTATTCATGGTATGAGCCTCTGACCTAGTCACACATTGTGCTATATGCTGTTATCATCACAATGAGAACAGTCTAGGTTTCATTTAACAGTAGCTGTCTTGTAGATCACTATATTACACCACAAATGCAATATTTCCATCTACCCCTCAGATAATGCTGGTCTGCCTCTTCTCATCGGTGGAGCTCCAGTATTCCGTATCCCAATATGATGCCTTATTAGGTATCTGGGTCGCTGCTGTCTAGGTCACAATACTGCAGCGTTATGGCTCCTGATACAATGCCATCTCTCCTTATATGGTGCTGGTTTGGCACGCTACCTCTTGATGGGTTATAGCTCTGCCATTCTCAATATGATACCTTATCAGATAGCTGGGTCTCTGCCGTCTAGGTCACAATACTGCAGCGTTATGGCTCCTGATACAATGCCATCTCTCCTTATATGGTGCTGGTTTGGCACGCTACCTCTTGATGGGTTATAGCTCTGCCATTCTCAATATGATACCTTATCAGATAGCTGGGTCTCTGCCGTCTAGGTCACAATACTGCAGCGTTATGGCTCCTGATACAATGCCATCTCTCCTTATATGGTGCTGGTTTGGCACGCTACCTCTTGATGGGTTATAGCTCTGCCATTCTCAATATGATACCTTATCAGATAGCTGGGTCTCTGCCGTCTAGGTCACAATACTGCAGCGTTATGGCTCCTGATACAATGCCATCTCTCCTTATATGATGCTGGTGAACACAGAGCCCGCCCTGCCATCAGCCAGCCAGATAGAGACTTGGCTCGTCCGTGAGAGAGCCTGCCCAGCAGTCAGCCAGCCCTGCTGTCCGCCATTTTCTATCACTCGTGGTAGAGGAGTGATAGAAATTGAGCTGATAGTTAAAGTTCTGTTATTGTCAGATAGAAAGCTCTGTTAGGTAGGGACATAGAAATCTGTTAGGTAGGGGCATTGAAAGACTCTGTCAGGGTCAAAAAACTGGTAACTGTATTTTTCAGTGTTCAAATCTTTTTGCTCCACGTCCAACTCAAAAATCCTGCATAAGTTCAGTTCTTTCTAAGAGCGTTCTCAAAATCAGCATCCTTTTCATTTAGGTTGTGAGATCTGTTTATTTTCAAAGTGTTCAAATTTTTTTTTTTTTTTATTTTTTTTTTTACACCAATAATCAACCATGAAATTGGAAAGCTGGTTAAAGCAGGGAACTCTTCAGAGAAAAAATATTACTACTTCTACCTGTTTGGCACTTATAGAAAATGAGAGAGAAGATACAACTAAAAATCAAGAAACCATGTCCGAAATAGTTGTATCTACTGTTCCTCAAATAGCAGAGACAAGTGACAAGTCAGAAAGGAAAAGCACACAATTGTACTCAATCTCCTTCTCAAACAAAGAGAAAATATGATGACAGGTACTTGTCATTTGGATTCACAAGTGCCAGAAACGATTGTCCTGAAGCACAATGCGTACTTTGCAATAAAATATTGCCAAACAGTTCATTAGCACCTGCTAAATTACGCCGTCATTTTGAGCAAAACCACACAGAGTACAAAGATAAAGACGTGGACTTTTTTAAGCGAAAGGTAAAGGAGTATCAGAAGAGAAAACCATTTATGAGCAAAAAAATTTCAAAATGCTAATGAAAAAGCCACAGAGGCTTCTTACAGAGTGAGTTACCGCATAGCACTTGCAGGAGAAACACACACAATTGGGGAATCGCTAATAAAACCATGTGCAAAAGAAATGTCGTCATGTATTTTAAGTGAGAAGTTGAGTAAATGAATTGAAGCTGTGCCACTTTCCAACAACACAGTTTTGTGCCATATTCATGATCTTGCTGATGACCTCCATACTGAACTAATTTCTCGACTGCATCAATGTGATGGGTACTCACCCGTAATTAGAAGAGTCCATGGATGTTGCAGGACTTTCAAATTTTGTTGGTTTTTGTTAGATATAGTTTTGACAAACCGATTGAAGAAGACTTGCTTCTGTGTTAAACTTTGAAAACTTATACCACTGATGAGAACATCTTTAACTGTATCCAGAAGTTCATGAACACACACAGTATAAATTGGGACAAATGTGCAGTGATGGTGCCAAAGCAATGATTGGGAAAGTGGCAGGCACTGTGATACGAATAAGAAATGTATCAAAAAAACAGCACCAGTTCTCACTGTGTTCTTCATAGACATGCAGTGGTCGCTAAAAATATTTCAATCTCACTTAAAACTGTGCTAGACGAATCGGTCCAGATTATTAATTTTATAAAAAGTCGACCATTACAGTCACGACTATTTAAAATATGTGAAGATATGGGTAGTCACCGCTCTGCTCTTGCATTCAGAAGTCTGTTGGCTATCACGAGCTAAAGTCCTTGTTAGAATGTTTGACTTGCGCCAAGAGTTGTTTGCGTATTTCCAGGATCATAACTTTGGATTATCTGATCGATTAACAAACACTCTGTGGTTATCAAAAGTAGCATATCTTGCAGACATATTCACAAAATTAAATGATGTATGTTTAAGGAAAAAACGCTAATATTTTGAATGCAAGAGAAAACATTTTCACTGTCTCTTAAGGTGCAGTTTTGGACCTCATCTGTTGAGCAAAATAATTTGAACTCTTTGCCAACAATTAAGGATTTTCTTGAATCAGAAATTGAACTTGAAGATGAAATTCGCCATTTAATCACATCTATTAATCAGTATTTTCCATTCTTGAATGAAAACAATGACTGGGTTCGAAATCCATTCATAAAAGACAAGCCAGACAATTTTTCTGATGTAGATTTTGAGAATCTGATCGATATAACTTCTGACAGTCAACTAAGCCAAAAATTTTAAGACTTTTCTCTTATTGCTTTTTGGGGTGATTTACGCAAAGAATACCCAGAATTGTCCAAGCGGGCAATCAAAAGTTCTGTTGCCATTCGCCAGCACACACTTATGTGAAACTGGATTCTTGCTCTACTCTGCAACAAAAACAAAGTATAGAAATCGACTTGACGCAACTGCAGGCATGCGAATACAATCGTCAACATTTAACCAGATATAAAAAGAATTTGCCAGCAAATTGAAAGGTTTGCGCTATGGCGCACATTTTTTTTTTTTGTCTGTGTTCGCAGCTAAAAAGAAAAACGCCGCCACAACGTGTTCATACATACGAATGGCGACCACCCAGCCAACAGCTTTGAATGTTGTGGTTACCAAGGTGAGACAACAGTCAAAAGGGTCAATGAGCAACACACAACTTCTCTGGGTGGTCTGGTCGTTCGGTAGTTTATTCGGTATTTAAACTCCATAGGTCCCAGGTGTTAGGCGAATCCCATATGCCGAACCACCCAGTGTATCAAATAAGTAAAAATAAAGAGGATGACAATCCAGGTATAGGGTAATCCGTCACAGAGATTGCTCAATTTTATACTGTATCTCAACTGTAGAACCCCCAGACAACGCAATTTGACTTTTAAAGATTAACGATTCCAGTTTATTCTCCATACAAATTTATTTATGAGAGATTGTGCTGAAGTCACCCAACTGCCTGGGCATGACAACGGTACCATCTGAAAAAGATATCACCATTTTGAAACAATATAGGATTTTACTACAGTTATCCAACCCCACAAAGACATTTCAAGATTTTTTTTTCCATGCATTTAGTTTTTTTTTAGCTGTATATTTAAGGGGTGGCAAGAAATTAAGTTCCATTATTTTGCTTACGTCATGGGTAATTGCAATCCTCCAAATAACTAAATGATTCATCAGCACAACTAAAGCCAAACCCATTCTTTAGAACCCCAACAACATCCTAAGGCAAATTAAAGGGTAACGCTATTGATTTATTAATATTCAGTTTATACCCTGAATAGACTGAAAACTCATCCATACATGGCAACAAATTAAGAGAATTCAAGGGATCTTTAAGAGTGAGTACTACATCATCTGCGTATATTGTCAATGTAAGTCATCCTTCACCTTCAAATCTTTTATTAGACCATTGTTCCTTATTGCCACTGTTAAGGGTTCAATTGTCATTAAATAAAGAAGTGGGGAAAGTGGGCACCCCTGTCTCGTCCCATTCTTTAACGGGAACCAGTCCGAGGTAAACCCACCACCCACTACTCTGGCCGTCGGAGAAGTATATAAAGCCGTTAACGCCCTTTTTATATTCTCTGGTAGCCCAAATACTTCCAAAACTGCATTTAAAAAAAATACCACCTGACCCTGTCAAACGCTTTCTCCGCGTTGAGTGACCAGATCAGGAGGGATGAATTATTTTTACGAACCAGGTCCACAGTATCAACAAGTCGTCTGATGTAGACCGATAATCATTTAGACACAAAACCAACTTGATCTCTGTGATTTAAATCTGTTCTTATATTATTCAGTCTAGCAGCAATTATTGATGAGTACAATTTCATATCCACATTCAATAAAGAAATGGGTCTATAGTTTGAAATCAGCTCTGGTTGTTTAGGAATGGGTATGATGAGCCTTTAACAGTTTACCTGGGATCTTCCCACTTCTCATAGATTCATTAAATGTATTAGATAAACTATTAATTAGATTTTCAGTCAACAATTTATAAAAGTGATTACTAAAACCATCCGGGCCTGGAGATTTATGAGGCTTTAGTTTTTTGAACGCTAGATTAACCTCTGCTGTTGATATCGGCTCGTTCAAATTACTCACATGATATCGGGGTGTTTTAGAAAGCTTTTCTCCAAAAAACCTTCCAGACTTGTTGGTAGATGTCTGTTAGGTAAATTATAGAGATTATAATAAAATTCTTATAAGGCTTGGCCTATCTTGGAGGGGACCAGGATAGTAGAATTCCCTTGAGTAATCTTAGCTACCATGTCTTTTGCCATTTCTTTTTTTAATCTAGTAGAAAGCATTCTATCTGCCTTGTTACCTTTATAAGTACCATGATCTTTTCAGTCTATCCAGGGCAACATTGACTTTTTGAATCAGTAAGTCATTGATTTTTTTTAAATTTATTTTTTTACTAATTTCGATCTATTATTCAATTCTAAACTGGGTCCTGCTTTATTTTCTTGTTCCACCTTGTTCAAGTCAATATATAATGGGGCTAACTGTTTAGAACCTTTCATTTTCTCTTAGTATTCCAGTTTAATTAAATGACCCTGAATCGTACATTTATACGCACACCAGATTACCGGAAGTAATACCTCATTATTGTGATTCTCTTTAAATAAAAATTTGTTGTCACCTTAATTTGATGGATTTTTTAACAGATGTTCATTTAACCGCAAGTTAGATCTATCTTTAAATGTCATCCTTAATTATAGTAATCCTTGCATTATGATCTAACCATGGAATAGTAATGAAGATTATTTTTTTTTTTTTAAATCTTTTTGATAATTCTGTGATGGATCACCTGGCATCCCGACTGGGTACCTCCGTTGAAGGATGCTTCTAGCGCTTCCTGAGGACTCCAAGCACTGAAGCAGACACCACAACCACCAAACCGGAGACGCATACGAATGCTCTCAAGCATATGAATGCTGTAAGCAGCTGAACAGGAAAAGCATACAATCAACTTACACTCCTGGCAATCAGCATACAATCCAATTCCCCCAATAACGAGACGACACTTCGTTTTGAGGTCAAGCAGAACTGATTTACTGGGGCTACCTGCACGGCTTTTATGCAGGTCTCCTACCTGGTGGACACTCCCCTAGGGGACCAGATGGAAGACTGGGAAACCTATTGGACATTGACCAATCACAAGCTTACAATCCAACAATGCATCACAATCCCTCCTCTCTGTCCTGGAGATAATTGGGAAGTAATCCAATTATCTCCAAGGACAGAGGCAAAACTCCATTAACCACATGGCAGACAAAGGCCAATAAAAGACATAAAAATACATACTGTTACATTTATCACATAGAACATACACATTGTACCTATCCCCAGATAGCTTAGATCTGAGCGCAAATTATTACCGGATGGCGCTCAGATCACATACATACAGTTCAATCGCATATAGCCAAAGTCTTTCATACAGTCTTTCATGTCACAGCTATCTGGGGTAGCATGGCTTTAACAACCTTTCTGCAGGGAAAAAGAACAGTGTTAAACATGGGTCCATAGTCCAGTGGCAGGAAGCGGGTGACCAGGCTCCTCCAGTGGTGAGGTTGGTTCCGCCACAACGTAGTCCTCCCCAATACTATGCATCACCTTGTGTTAGGTATGCACCAACATTAAATGACCACCGTAGTGGCTAACTCCTTCCCGACCGCGGACGTATCAGGTAAGTCCGACAAAACAGTCCTTAAGGACCGCGGCCATATCAGGGGTTAATTTGAGTGCTGGAAGTGATCATGATGACCTCCCTAACAACCCAACAAACCTATGCATTGGTGGTATCACTGTACTCAGGAGATGTGGCTGAACACATATTGGGGTGTTCTTTGGCAGTAAAACCTAACAGGAGCTGAGAATAAAGTACAATGTGAGAGAAAAATAACACAAAAAATGACTACTCAAAAGTATGACAAAGACTGGTGGTAGAATTAGTGCATGGGAAGTATTAAAATTAAACCATTTCAAATACCTTAGGGTGTCTATTTTTTCTAAATTATATGGTTTGATGGGGGAAAATTACATTGACTGGCTTCAAAAATAGGACATGGGTGCTTGATGACCAGCTGTGAAAATTCCAAATTGGAAAACTGGAATGTGCACCCTCGAAATAAGGACTTTTAGCCCCCAGAGAACCCGACAAACCTATACATGGGTGGTATCACTGTACTCAGGAGATGATGCTGAACACATATTGGGGTGTTCTTTGGCAGTAACCCTTAACGTTCTCAGTACATGTATTCTTAAATTGCTGTGTGTGTAAAAAAAAAATCACATGGATTGCATAGATTGGTGGTAAAATGGTTGCATGAAAAGAGTCAAAAAACTTCAGGTTTAATACCTTAGGTTGTCCTCTTTTAAAAAATATATACATGTGAAGGGTTATTTGGGGATTCCTGACAGATATCAGTGTTAAAATGTAACTTTTGTTAATTTTGAAAAAAAAATGGCTTGCAAATAGCAAAAAAAAAGTGCTGCTTGTACTTACTGCCCTATAACTTGCACAAAAAAAAAAGCAAAGAACATGTTAACATTGGGTATTTCTAAAATTAGGCCAAAATTTAGAAACTATATAGCATGGGTGTTTTTTGGTTGTAGATGTGTAACAGATTTTGGGGGTCAAAGGTCGAAATAGTATTTAAAATTTTTCATCATATTTTATAAACGTTTTTATAGTCAATTATATGATATGATGAAATTAATGGTATCTTTAGAAAGACCATTTAATGGCGAGAAAAAACATATATAATATGTAATATGTAATACAATAAATAATATAATACAGTAAATGAGTAAGAGGAAAATTACAGCTAAACACAAACACCGGAGCAATGTAAAAAGAGCCCTGGTCCTTAACGGTAAGAAAATTGAAAAACAGTCTGGTCACTAAGTGGTTAAAAGGAAGCGGTTTTTAATCTAGGATCTTGAAGCAATATGAATCCTATATTGACATGTAATAATCTGTGTAGTAAGTAATCCACGACGCCAAATTAATCGGAAATAATAAGGTGAGGTTGATTGAGATTACCTGGTGATAAAGTGATTGTAAGAAATGGGTTTCTGCATTTCTAAACAGAATATATTTGCACAGTATCATGGGGGCTATCATACTGTATGTATTGGGGCTGATGTGTACTGTGGCCGTGCTGCCGCCCAGGAGTGATGGGAGTGAGCGCAGGACTTGTTTTTTTGCAATAAATGTTGCATTACTTCTGGGAACATGCCCACTGACAGCGAAGATAGGACCAGAGCTGCACATTACCGGCATGCATGGGATAGGAATTTAGCAGAACATTAGTGGGCGGAATAATGATGTAGCTGTGTGGTGTGGGTCAGGGATTGATAAGAATTGACTGTATAAATGGGGAAGTCAGGTTTGAGTTATGCAGAGTCAGTGTTTTAGCATTTGAGCCATGGAGATCTTTACATAATATTTTACTTGGGAATAGGTATAGATTACAACTTACAGCATGTCCGTTAGGATTTCCAAAGTCAAGTAAGGTATCGTATCGTGATGTATAAAAAAAGGGTTTAGTCAATGTAATGAAAATATAATTAGCCTCTTTCTTAAACAACTGTAAGATTTCCCACATCTTGAAAATGCAGAGCAGAGCGGGGCAGATGTTTTAACCAAGGATTTTATGGAACGGAATAAAAAGTAGAGCAGCGGGTAACAAAATGAATAAGGGGAATTAGAAATGTACTTAACACTATGATTGTTTAACGTAATAAAAAACATTTCAAGAGATAGAGAAAGTATTGAGGAACCTACTCGAACAAGCTTAGAAAGTGGGGGACTAAGAGGGTGGGAAAGCAGCAAAATTGGAAGTGTGGACTCAATATTCATGTTGGGAGTAAGACATTTAAGGAATGACAGGGAGATCATAGTCTAATTTGTAGGATGGAAGGCAAGGGGAGAGGCTGTTCCATGGGTGGGGAACTACCCATGAAACGTCATGCATTTACAATTAAACCATACAGGCGCAGGCAGAGAACAGAAGGGTCAATGGCAGAGCAAACCAACAGAGAGAAAAAGATATATATATATATATATATATATATATAGTGGGGGATAGAGTTATTGGGAGCTTTGTAGGTTAGTTAATATTTGCAATTAAATCTTGAAGGGTACAGGAAACCGATGTAATGATTGACAGATGTGAAGTGTGAAGGGAGCGACAAGATAAAATAAGCCTGGAAGCAGCATTTATTTTGGTCTGTAAGAGGCAGTATAGCTTCTGGGGAGACATAAAAACATAGAATGTGACGGCAGATAAGAACCATTCGGCCCATCTAGTCTGCCCAATTTTCGAAATACTTTCATTAGTCCCTGGCCTTATCTTATTGCTAGGATAGCCTTATGCCTATCCCACGCGTGCTTAAAGGAACACTATAGTGTTAGGAATTCAAATAAACGGTGACTAGGGCCCCTTTCGCAGCGAATAAATGGTTAATTAGCAATTTATTTGCTTACCTTAATCCAGCGCCAGGCTCCATCGGTGCTGGTGACCTCTCCTCCTCCTTCGACGTCCTCTCCCGAGTTTCTCTGAAACTGCTATGTTTTCAGTTAAAACTAGGGGGACCTGGCACCCAGACCACTTCATATTATTTTTAAACCTTTGCCCCTCTAATTTAAGACTATGTTGTAGCGGGCCTTACTCTCGCTAATAAGGAGTAAAGAGACCCATTTTCCCCAGTAGCTGGACAGGGCACAGTTCCAGGGGTTCAACTACTACTTTATTGGCCACATTCGGCTTTATACTCTCACCATGTAAGGTATGGATCACACACAAATGACAATGTCCCTTCCCCGGGTCACCCAACGGTCCCCAGTTCCCGCCACCCAACTACAGGGTTTCCCACTTCCCGTGGCAGGGAGTCTTCTTCCCATGAGCCTCTGTACCTGGGAGTCCCAGCACAGGAAAGATTCCAGCCTCTTGGGCTCCCAATTACAGAAAGACCGCCATTGTCCCCACTAATCTCAGGGATCCTCCCGAGCGGTAACTGCCTCCGTTCGTGGGATCCCTAGGTGAAACCAGGCAAGGGAAGCATCCTTGTTCGGGACATGAATGCTCCCCCTGACCGCCGTCTGTCTATACGAACGGCGGCCTCCCAGGGAAGCACTCCTTAATTACTTCCCTTGCGGCTTCACACTTATGTTGCAAGTTACCAACGTTCAAATTGATTGGTGCGAACATTCCATGGGGCATTAGGGAGGTCCCCGTTCGGGAACCGAATGAGGTTGGAAGCAATCCGTGAATGTTCCCCCTGAATGGCATTCGTCTAACAAGCGGGCTACCACCCAGGGTCGGCATGCACCGATGCTTCCCTTGTGGTTTGTGGTTTTCACACCTCGTTGACTAGGTGCGAACATTCCAAACAAACATTCTAAATGGAGTATCGGGAGCCAAACAGAACTCGTTCTTATGGGGACTCCCGAACAGGGAGTAGGTAAAACCCAAGAATATACACAATATAGGGGAAAAACACGGGGGGATGACACACAGCAATTCACTTACAGGTAGCTGTCCCGCCACATATGTCCTCTTGTTTTGGTAATTTTTCTTCTTTTAAATATAGTCTCCTCCTTTAGGGTGTTGATTCCCTTTATGTATTTAAATGTTTCTATCATATCCCCCCTGTCTCGTCTTTCCTCCAAGCTATACATGTTAAGATCCTTTAACCTTTCCTGGTAAGTTTTATCCCGCAATCCATGAACCAGTTTAGTAGCCCTTCTCTGAACCCTCTCTAAGGTATCAATATCCTTCTGAAGATACGGTCTCCAGTACTGTGTACAATACTCCAAGTGAGGTCTCACCAGTGTTCTGTACAATGGCATGAGCACTTCCCTCTTTCTTCTGCTAATACCTCTCCCTATACAACCAAGCATTCTGCTAGCATTTCCTGCTGCTCTATTACATTGTCTGCCTACCTTTAAGTCATCAGAAATAATCACCCTAAATCCCTTTCCTCAGATGTTGAGGTTAGGACTCTATCAAATATTCTGTACTCTGCCCTTGGGTTTTACATCCAAGATGCATTATCTTGCACTTATCCACGTTAAATGTCAGTTGCCACAATTCTGATCATTTTTCTAGTTTACCTAAATCATTTGTCATTTTGCTTATCCCTCCTGGAACATCAACCCTGTTACATATCTTAGTATCATCAGCAAAAAGACATACCTTACCATCAAGACCTTCTGCAATATCACTAATAAAAATATTAAAGAGAATGGGTCCAAGTACAGATCCCTGAGGTACCCCACTGGTACTTCGACTATACTCCATATAAATCTAGGAGAATTAAAGTGATCAATGCCAGAATGAATCAGATCCTTAGTAACATCTTGTGAAGAAAGGGTTGGATGACAGACTGGATAAGAAACGTAAAAGTGAGGTCAGAATCGTAGAACACCAAGGCAGCAAGCTTCCAAGGACGGGCGTACCGATAACTTGCAGGGAGAGCGATATCAGAGGATTAGCATTATAAGGAAGGAAGATAAGCAAAGAAGCTAAGTTTTAGAAAGTGAGAAGACATCCAGTTGCAGGTGGAAGACGGGAAAATTGTAATGTGTCATCGACAGATAGGTGGTACTGTGATCTAAAAGAATTGGAAGTTTGCCAAGAACAGCAGTATAAAAAGAAAACAGAACTGACCCAAATAGAGAGCCTTGTGGGAGTCCAGGTTAGACAGGTCGAGGGGAGAATGTTTTACCAGAAAGGAAGAACCCGAGTGATCATTGGGAGAGAGAGGATGAGAATTGTGAAAAGGCAGTGTCACAAAGACCAAAGGTGTGAAGGAATCGAAGAAGCAGCAAAGTCTAGAACAATTCGTATGGAGTAATGGGGTTTGGACTTAACTGCGGTTAAATCATTTACTACATTAGTCAGAGCAGTCTCCATAGAATGGAGGGGATGGAAGCCAGATTT